TCTTTACCCACCCTACCTAGACAACACCGATGTTGGTAATTAAGGGTTGTCCCTATTATAACTTCTAATTAAGCTACTCGGTTTGTTCAGTCATTGGCCTGATGTCCAGCGATAGACCCTTAGAAATAAATTTTAAGCGTTCATGTCTATTTTTCTAATAATTCAAAAATTTCTTGGTTTATTTGTACCTTAAAGGGGGAATTAAAATTCATTGTTTCAAATTCGAATTGAATCAAATGTGTTGACCGTTGAAAATTAATAAGTAAACATAGTTCCGAAATAATTAGGAGAATATTAATAAAGAATACAATTAAATTAAATATAGAAAGAAATAGGCGGGTATAGTTTCAAATAACTGGTTTAAATTAAACGCATGTAGGTTATGTAAAGGAGTCATGATCAACTATAAAAATACATAGGTTTGACTTACCAAGCAATGCCGTCGTTGAGCTCAATGAGACCATGCTGGAATTCTTAGAAAAATTACAATTATAGTGGATCAAACTTTTACATAAACATGCGTGAGTTGAAACTTTTAAAGATTACAATTAATTACCAAAGAAAAAATTAAATTAAAGTATTTTACTTTTTGTTTTTTTTTTACGCATGGTCCATTATCATTTCATTTAACATTTCTTCCTTTTTTTCTTTTCAAATCAGTTAAGATATTAAGAACACTTTAAAGAAAAAAAAACTATTTTTAACCTGAAGTGACGTAATGTGACGCAGCACCCGAATTGCCTGATAAAAAAAAATACAAATAAATTAGCAATTCTTTTTAGTCACTTAAGAGTGATCCACGATTTTCATTATATAAAGCAAAGCGAAAAGACCTAGCACATCATTGGGAAAATTGGTCGTTTCAGAGATGGCATCGCATTTTTCCTTCGGCGATCCAGAAATACATTTCGGCGACGCTCAGAAAAAAAGTATTCAAACATTGTCCCGTTAGACAGCATCTGGCTAGGCTTAGAAATCACCACGCCTCCAATTTGATGAAACAGCTGCAGCTCCAATTGATATAAAAAACAGCCACAGCGCAGTTGCCGAAATACAGAAAACGGTCGCAGCGACGCTTGCAGCGCTGTCGCCAGTAACTAAAGCGGCGACTGCAGCCTAGTCATGACGTCACCGTCAGATAAGTGGGTTTTATATGAACCTCCACGTTTGCTTATGCGTGCGAAGATTTACCACGCATAGATATATATATGTGACATATACCCGAGATTTGGGGCGACCCTAATCAGGAATCAAAAACCCAAGGGTGAGGGTAAGGGCACTGGCACTAGGCACTGTAATTAGTTGAAATTGTAGGCTACATTCATAATAGAACGACACTAAATTACCTGGCCACTCCAGTAGAAAAACTGAATAAACACTGGTTTTGGGGAATTTATATTTACTTTAACTTTTTGTTAAATTCAATTCTTGTTAATTCTTTTTTTTTTCCACGTGCAATGTATTATAATCGGCTCTTGGACACAATCACTTGTCAGACTTAGTCTGCTTCACTCAGAAGTCGGTATAGAAGTGAACTGTACCCCATGCAAACACTTTAGCTAGCCCTATGCAATTTTCAGCCAAAGCCGATCTTGAATCAACAACAACATTAGCGCTTAGCCGAAGTCTGCAAAAAAAACGTATGTACTGATAAGCAACGGCAAAATCGTATGATGCTGCTCCGCTTATCCAAGGTGACCGCAGCATAATAGATAAAATATAAGAGTATGACAACTCAAATCATTTATGATTGCCCCTGTAGGAAATTGGACACTACAAGGAGTAAGCTAACAAGCTAAATTTCATAAATAAAAGATTCAATAATGAAAGGTTAATATTGATATGAGTAGCTAATATTTAATACTAATCATTTGGAAAAAGCAGATATGTGGAACAATGTATCTAATAAATGCATATCTTCGGCTCATACAAATGGTTTCATATTAAATGTTCAATTCAAAAATGGTAAAGCAATCGTACCAACATGAAGTATCCATTTTCTCAACTTAAGAACAGCATTGTGATAAACAAATAAATAAATTGTATTGATTGCATTAAAAAGTGAAAATCTTTTGAACGTTCAATTGTCAGCTTTTAGGAAAAAGGTATGCAAAAACTCTACCATTAAATATATTGCAAATAAATCTCTTAACATGCTGAACATAAATAAATTTACTTTCACATTTAAAGACATTACTCTACCCACAATTATTCTTTTTGAAATTTTGATTCCCTTTTATTGCTTGAGTCTCCTGAGTCGCATGAATCCACCCTCGCAGCCAACTTATCCAAACATGTGCGGGCATGTATCTAGTCATCGCACAACCCCAACTGGCAACAGGTTACTGTTGGCATGACTTTAATTTTCTTCGATATGCTGTCAATATGAGCCGACATTTTGTGTTCTGGTTTTTCCGCTCAACTTTTCGTTTCGACACTCGCTTTTTCGAGTAATTCGTGCGCGTCCTTACAGGCATTTAACTCAACTCTGAGCCTGTGCCTGTGTGGGTGCACCCTTCTCGGGTTTTCGTCGACTCCTCCTGGGGCGTTTGCTCTTCTAATAAAATTATTTGCAGCTTATTTAATTTTATTTGTGTGTGCTTCGCAGAATTCTTCAACCTGACGTGTTGTTGTTCGGTATGAGTGAAATACTTTATCCAAATATTTCATTTCCCGTTAACAATGTACATATGCATATTTTCTGTCCATAAACAGCAAATGTCGCACAAAGTATTAGCGTTCTTTGTCTTTCTTGCCTTGGGCTGCTCATTAAAATTGTTTTGTCATTCTTCTTTCCATCCAAGCCAAGCACGTCTCTCAGTTCATATAAAAAGCTTTTAAGGAAGTATAACTTAATAAATAAACAATGAGTTCAACATTAAATAAGCAACAGCAGCTTATAAAGCCCAAATTGATAGGAAAGAAATTTAATTACACCTGGGAATTGATTGTTATTGTCGTGTAATATCAACATAATGCCAAAAATTATGGCGGAATGGGAAACCAGAATGCAGCTTTAAATGTTTGAGTAAGCAGTGGTTTTTTCAACTTTAAGATGTTTCAAGAAGTTAGACAATGTTTAATCAAATTTATCACATTACAAAACATTCAATTTAAGTTTTCTTTATTCAAATTCATCGAATTTAGTTGCACGAAAGTGAAGATAACTTTGAATTCGATGTTCTGAGAGCTACATAACTGCAAAAAGGGGCTTAAATATTCCTTTGAACCCGTCCTTAAAATTCGAATGAAACTTAGCAAAAACGCTGTTTATATTTCCGTACATTTTTTAAATAAAAGAGACTGTTGTTTAGTTAATGATTAAAAGAATTTGCAGAAAATAAATTTAAGTAAAGGGCCAAAGAAGCAACAATTTCAAAATATAAATTAGGATAGTTAAAAATGCTTAACAACAGATTTAATAACATATTTTATAATTTAATTCACTTAGATTTGAAGGATATACATATGTCTGAAATTGGCTTAGGTATTCATATTGAATCTTTGACTTAATAGTACTTTTTTCTTTACCTCTTATTACATCTAATTTTCGTTATTTAGGGCGTTTCCTTAAATCAAGCGACTAACTAAAAAGTGAAAAGTTTTAATTGGCCAAATAGCCAAATATATGAGTCTTTGTGAAATTTTTAATTGCTTTCAATTATGTCTTCATCTATTACTTTAAAGGTAACATTTTGAAACAACATTTACCTATAATGAGGAAAAAAGTTCTTGCAAGGCAAACAGAATGTTGCCGTGTTGGCATGATGGCAGCATGATGGTTGGCATTACATTTTAGAATTTTTGCAATTAATTAGGGCTAGGTTTGAACTTTCACAAATGCTCCTTTACGTTTTGAACTCGAATACATTAGCAAAGTTCAACTTTTTGCCCGCCAGCTCCGCCTTGATTTATTTATGTTCTTCTACCCGTAATTCTGTGGCTTTTATCAGAGTGAAGCCTATGTTCAATGTATGTACATAATTTACATGCTTCAATTGCATTGTTTCGGGGCAAATTGAATAAATCAAAAGTTGGATTGGGTTTGGGCCCCAAGACATGAAATAAAGTTCGAAACTCATGACTCAAAGTCAGCATAATACGGCCCACAAGCTCTGTAAACGTATAGTATTTGGCCAATTGCTAGCTAACAAATGCTCGTTCAGCAGTCAAATCAAAGTTCGAGAAGTTCGACAACAACTTGTGCTAGCTTGTGACATTTCAAGTTAGGGATAATCATGAAAACTAACAATATTATTAACGCTCTTATTAGCCACCACCACGACCACCGGTGACGTTGTGACGTCCAAGTGAAGCAAATTTAATTAAAACAGCCGTCGAGGATAAGGCCATGAGGCAGGCAGACAGGTTAAGGAGTGAGCCACAAATGCGCAGCGGAAGGCAAATGGGCGCGGGCTGATGTTATCGTGACAAAACCAAATTAAGTAGCGCACGGGTTACATCAACCGACGGCAACAACAACAACAACAACGCCAGCAGTTCGGGACAGCAGCGGGAACAGAGCCAGCGAGTAATTCAATTTAAAGGCCCTAACCAGACGCTGTTAACCAATGCCAATCTACGCCATCATAAAAAAGCGCCGCAGGCCAACAAACGACAGCCAAGACAACAGCCCGAGCAAGCCGACTAACCAACTAGCCGACTCTAACACTGACTCCATACCCTCTCCTCCTCCCTCGCCTCCTCTGCCACTGGCTGTGTCACCCGCCTCTAAGTCTGACGAATGGAAAACTTTCCAGAGCAGTCGACCACGACCTCATTTAACAGGAACGCGCGCGCAAACAGGAGAAAAGAAAAAAAAATTAAATAAAAGTCTACCCATTGCGTTTGTTATTATGAACCTAATTTGGTGTGAGGCAAGAGATTTTCCTTTTTGCCACGTCATTATCCCTCGAACTATTTGTTGCGCATTAGACGCAGACACTTGCGACAATTGAACGGATATGGCAGTTAGACTCAGTAACTGCTCGTAAACTTACCCGTCGTGCCATTCTCGTGACCATTCAAATCTCCCAGCGATCCAAAAGATGGCGTCGTGTTCGTCGTTGTGGTTGTGGTGCGCGCTGCATTTCCGGTTGCTGTTACAATAAGCGCACCTGACGAGTTCGTGCCGTTTTCCGTTTTCACTATTTCCGCATTATGTCCTACCATTGCGAAAATTCACAGCCGCCCCTTTCACACCCAGATTGGCCGTCCAAGGCTAGTCTAGGGTGTGTTTAACTTGTTGCTTTAGCCGCTGAAATTATAAGAAATGGTAGGCAACACATTAGGCAACATTAATTCAATTTGTTATCAAGTGAACTTAAGCTTCTAATCTGTCTCTGATGGCAGTTGAATTAAATCTAAAATATTTGCGCAGAATAATTTTATTGAAATCAATGCACAGTTTTCTTATGACACGAATCAAAGACCCGTCCAAGAAGGGAACTCTTTCTGGGCGGGCGATGATGTCATACTATTACAACAACAATTGAATCGATTTTCTTTATTAGTTATTTTGATTTCCTATTTTGTTTACCCAGAAATATGTGAAGCCTTTTTACATTAGGACTTATGTCATATGCAGCTATTCATTATTGATATTCATTCAACAGTTTTTCGTTTATACATTAATTTTGTTTGTACACTTTTCTACATATTTCTTATATACAAGTATTTTGTTGTCGCTCATAGCTATCTATGAAAACTAGTTTTATTTCAGAAATGAATGAGAGCTATTTCCTTATAGTTAGGTTTATTACAATTATTATTATTGTTGGAGACTAGAAAAAGCTTCATTCATACTACTATTGGAGAGAATAAGGCCTTAAAGCTATGTCTATATATAATTTACAATTTACAACTGCAGTATCCGGTAAATAAGTCAAGAACTAATGATAATTTGGTTACAATTATTAGAATCTATTGCCACATTTATATGCATTCTAAAAAGCAAACTTGACGAATCGAAATTGTTACATAATCTGTTTATTTAACCATTTTTATGCGATGTTATTATGTTAATTAATTACCTTTTCTTTCCTCTTCCTTTCCTTTTTCTCTGCCCCTTTTTAAGAGAATCAGCCCCTAATTTGTGTTAGAGAGTTAAAATCGTATATAAAATGTTGTAGGAGTGTGTTTTATTGAGTCTTTTTTGAAATATATTTTTAAATATTTCAAAGCAGCCTTATTCTACCATGAAGCCAAAATCGTTCAAGCGTTGAATAAATTACAACTTTTTTATCCATGCACACTCAGAGTGATTGTGAGTTTATTGTTAACTAGAGTATATCAACAGATTTCAGTTCAATAGTTAAACTACTTCTAGGATAAGCTTACAAAAGTTGTTCGCCAACAGTTAAACTTTTGCTTGGATAATTCGCAACAGCTTCAACTTTATTAATGCATAATAAAACATTTTTTCTTTGGCACGAAACTTTTCTCAATAAAGACCATAGTTTTTTAATTTGGAGCTTCAACGAAGGAACAATAACGAAAAACGGAAAACGAAAAACAAGAGCTGTGTGCAACTAAAGTGCATGCTTAACTTCTATGTTTTATTCGCTTTAAAATATTTAAGAAGCAACAGTAACGGGACACAACAAGTTGAGGTTTTTCTTTTGCAGTGCCATTTGTTTTACTGAGTATTTTGTCAGCTCATCGTAAGTTTCCTTTCCCCTGCCCCGCGCTGTCATTCCTTTTCTCCCACTCCCTTAGTACTTAGTCGCTTTTTCTGCATTCACCAACTGTGGCCAACACTTGCAAGTCTTGGCAACAATTAGAAAAGTTTCGCTTAACACTCACGAGCACACGTAGTGAGGCTTAAGCAATAACTTATGTATGAACCTGTGAAGAAATACACACTGAAGCTGTGTCGGTTTTGCTTCGTCTCGTGGTGAAAATACTTGTAAGAGAGAAAGCAAGAATCGAGTACGTCCGCTACTGTAATACCTGGCACCTAAATAAAAATGTAAAAAATAAAAATTGCAACAAAATAATAAAGGACTAGGACCAATGTGGCCTCATTCAGAAGGACGGGATTGTCTAATTCAATTTGTCTCAGCGTGCCGATTTTAAATATTTATTTATAATATATCTTCTGAAAGTTGATTTTTTGAACTCATTTAACACCTAGATAATTTAATGTATATTTTAGTGTCTACTGAAAGATTGTGTGTAGCCGTGTGTAGATAATACTAACAAGCAATTAAGATTTTAGATAAGCTGCCTAAGTCTAATACTTTTAAGGCATTAGAAAAGAAAGCAATCAGAGTAAAGATACTCGTACAGTTTATTTGTTGTTCTGTCTTCTCTCAAAAAAGTGATTAAGGAACGCAACATTCCTAAGAAACTGCTTGCTTTTGGGATGTGTTTGTTTATTTAAGGGATGCATGTCCACATAGCCACATAGCTAAGTATTTTCCAGGCCCTGTGCGCATACATGGATGCCATGAATGGAAGTAAATACAAATGTAGAGGAATCTTTTTATAAATAGATGTAGCTGTGTATATGTCAGTGCATGCATGTCAACCGTCTTGCTTAAGGTCTTGCATATCCTTCGGGCATGCGGCATACAAATACAAATAAAAACACCCATGCAAACGTCACTGGCTTTTGTCATTCTACCTACAAATACGTGCAGGCTAAGCTGTCTTTGTTGTCTCTGAAAGTTTATGCAATTCCTTTTTCATCTTTATTTCTATGGCTTGCCACTTTAGTTGTATCTTTTAGTTAAACTTTTGCAACTTGTCGTTGGCGCTTTGAAGTTAAATTGTGTCAGTTTATTTGGAGTGCCGCACACAGCAGCGATTCGCTGCTTCTCAACTCTGTCAAACATATTTCAAATACTATCGCAGCGATATTTAAGCGAAACTATTTGCAAATTTAAATATTGGTATTCTAAATGAAAGATTTATAGTATTTAAAGTTGATTTGAGACTATTTCGTTTAAAGGTAAAAAATATCGAAAATGGTCGTATTTGATTTTCAAATAAACGTGCAACGTACTTATAATGATATTTAAAATAATTGTAGTTTGTTTTAATTAATTTCTGAAACATTAATTTCAAGAACATCATCCCCATCTACTTTTTAGAGTTAACGATCAAACATAAAGTTATAATTCATCGCCGTTCTGTGTCCCCTTTAATGCTTTTAGTTAAATCAATATCTTTTCATAAATAAATAAATAAACTACTAGTATATGTATATATAAAAAAATACATATATTTTCTGTTGGCCACAACATCAAAGAAACGCCCGCACGATTGCGTGCAACATGGCGTATGTGCAATATCAGACGCAGCAATTACTTTGAATTCAATTCAAATGCCAATGCGCCTCATTATTTGTACTATTGAAAGCAAAAAAAAAATACGCAAACTATTGCAGAGTAAATTAAACTAGAACTAAAAAATCCACAACTAACTAATAGACGCGGTCAGCCCATAAACAAAACCTAGACACAACTAACGAATAGGAATTTAAGGTTTCGAAATATTTGCAACAATTTATATTTATTTGAAAACAAAAGACTAAACTTAGTTGTTTTAACTTAATATTGTCAATTTTGTTAAGCGTTTAATACGTTCTTTGCCATATTCTAAAACACAACAGATTCAGTGCTCTTTGTGTTTTGGCCGCCGGTCCGCTTTGCACTTCAACGCCAGCCACTTGTAGATTTTCGCATTTTCGAGCAACGGACAAGCAAACGGCTACCCCGGACAAACACAATTACATACAAAGGCAGGAAAAAACCCCCATAAAAAAAAAACACAAAACTACTCATAAATAAATATTATGCAGGTATTGTTGTGCTCCCTCAGTTTTGTTTTGTTTTGTTTTTTTTTGCGGCTGGCTCGTATTATTCGCTGGTTTATTTTTCGGTTTTTGTTTACACTGAACAATCGCCGAGAGCGGAGCCGTTTTTAACGTACTTTTGTTGGAAAATGTGGTCAAAAGATAAATAAAGCAAAACAAAAACAGGCTAAGCACATGGCCAAAGCAAAACAATGGCGCCAAAATGATATCAGACTCTAGATTAAATTGCATTATGGCTAAGAGCAGGATAAACATAATGAGAATGTTATCTTTTCGACATCTTATGCCGGCGGAGGACTACTTTAATTTTAAGTGAATATTTTAAGCATTTGGGAGTAAAAAGTTTAACTACCGATCTGAAAAAATTACTAGCTTTCCAAAGCAGCAATTACTTAAAAAAAAATAAGAATCCAGTCATAATTTTAAAGACTTACAAAGTTTTAAAGATTGACAAAAAAGGTCGACATTTGTGTTATTATAATTTTAATAATCTGTTGAGGCAATAAATAAATCCCAAATTGTTGGTTAGCACAAAAAATCCCTTAGGTAATCCAATTGTAAAATGCAATATTAGTTTAACACAGCCACTCAAATCGGTTTCAAGTAGCTACAATTATAAACATTGGCAGAATTTCAGTTTTGAAGTACGAGTACGTAGCGTATGAGTAATCTTTATTTGTTTGCAAAAGCACAGACTCAGCGCTTCGCTACAATTTATCTGTATTAGATTTTTACATTTTCCTTCCTTTAGAAACGCTCAGAGCAGTTATCATTAATTTGCATTTAAGTTATTATTATAATTATCATGGGACAGGCGCAAAAGGGAAATATGAAAATGGGGGAACAAAAACAAAGCGGGAAGCAGAACGCTGTTGAATTATTGTCATACATTTGTCTCGAGACGCTTTGTTACACTCACTTACTGCAAGTTGAAAAGCTGCACAGACATATAGTACGTCTAAAACCCCACACCCCTAGCCACAACCCCTATATTATGACGCCATCAGCATGCCAACTTAGCAGTAAATTGCTTGTGTGAATACTTGTATTTTCAATTTGGCAAACATTGCCTGAAATTTATGTTTGCTTGCCACTGGCGTTTATCACTCACATGCACACAATGCACAGTGGCTTCCACTTATTGATAATAATTGAAAAAGTGTGTTTGAAATACATATTATTGCCGCTGCTACACAATAAGCTAATAGTGCCTCTTGCCTCGGTATTTCCTTGGCATTAAAGTTCTTCCCAATACGATAATGAATGTACACAAGTAAACATTTGTATTTAACTGAACGACACATATTATAAGATAAGACAATTTTCATATCTTTAAGGAAACAATGAGTAGCACGGTCGCTGAATAAGCTCAACTGTTCAGTTTCATTAAATAAAAAAAAGCAATTAAAAGAATTCAACACCAATTATCAAATATT